AAGTTTCGGACTACTTAGGACTTATTTTTTATTTGTCTTTTTGTCTACACTAATTTCGGAATATTTCATATCATTTTTGGATTGTTTTCGTATAATCTACATAGATTCAGTCCGTTTCAAAATCTGAATCCGATTGAGTCTGGTTTAATCCGACATTCTGTATGTATTAAATCCGCAATTAGTCCGCAACAATCTTGATTTAGTTAGGTTTTTCTGTTTTTATTATAGTTTCTACTCATGCCGCCAGGTGCAGTTCTCTCGCAGTTAAGATGAGTCTCAAATTCTATAAGAACTATTCGCTGTCGGCGTAGAAGACATGTAACCTTCTGACTAATTGTTACTACTTTTGTTAATATTTCGGAATGTGGAATGAATCCGAAGCAGTCCGGTTTAGAGTCGTGTTTCGGAATTGTTCTGGATTAACTAGTAAAAAATAACAGATTAGTACCGGGTTTTACCAGACTAATATCAGATTTACTAGTTGCTTACAATCGGACTAATTCCGGATTAGATCAAACTATATTTGTATTCACTATAGGTATTCACAAACAGTATTGTTTTCCGACTTAACCGGACCCATTCCGGGTGACAAAAACCTGACCATAAACCTCAATGTATTGTTCGGTTTTTTCAAAAACTCTAGGAGAGGGAGGGGGTTGAATTTTTTTGAAAAATTTAAACAGTGAATTTTTGAAGACTTGTAACTTTCAAACAGAAAGAAGAAGAAAAATTTGTCCCATACGTTTTCGAAAGGTTTTTTCCTGCTCTTTCGAATAACTTTATTTGTTTATAAAATATATCATTCTTTATTAACCTTAATAGTTAATTAATTAACTAAAAATTGTAAATATTATATAAGTAAATAAAAAAATTTTCACATCTATGTTTTCCAAAGGTTTTTTTGTGCTCTTTCGATTAGTGAAAAAAAAATCAAAAAATTTTTGACTTTTTTTTAAGTTCGGTCTTTTTTTAAATTTATTTTTTTTGAAAGTTAAAAATGTGCATTTTTAGCTCAAAAAGTATTGAGATGTCCTTTTTTGTTATTTTTAAGATATTAGTTAATTAATTAATTAAGGTTAATAAAGAATTATATATTTTATAAACAAATAAAGTTATCGTAATTCTGACGTTACTAAGTAAAAGTTGACAAAATTCCGCATCCAACGAGCCCTATATGAAGTTTTTAAAAAAAAAATTAAATAAAAAAAATAAAAAGGACCGAAGTTAAAAAAAAATTCGAAAAAATGTTTAATGTTCAAAAAAAGGGTCAAAATTTGAATTTTTAAAAAAAGTTTTGCACCATTCGAAAGAGCAGGAAAAAACCTTTCGAAAACGTATGGGACAAATTTTTCTTCTTATTTCTGTTTAAAAGTTACAAGTCTTCAAAAATTCACTGCACCGAAAAAAAAAAGTTCTCAAATTTAGAGGATTCCTCTTCTTTTGCAGCAACTTTTCCTTTTATATATGGGCACTAAAGTTTTCATATCTAATTGAGAGGATTTTCCTCTTTTATATTTTGAGAGGAATAATTTCAAATAAAGATTTATTCATCTTGTTTCAAACTTACGTCAAATTCAGAAATGTCAACCTTCTTTACAGGGTTAAAAGAAATTTATGATTTAATTTACTCGTTATTACTCGGATTAAGTAATTTATAATGATAGGAACCATTTTTGGAGAAAAAATATAGACGGCGAAAACACGAGCTGAGTTTTTATACAATAAAGTACCAAAGATTTTCAGGTTGATAAAAATGTTTTTAGTTTTTGTTCATTTTAAAATAAAGTGCTCAGTATTCAAGTGAAAAAAAGTTAATGGATTATTTAAATCAAAGTAAATATATTTTTAAAATAGTGTAGAGGTCAAATTGATGAAATAATCAATTCTGATTTGAATATTATTAAATTCTAACCCTAGAAAAAATAGGGGTTAAACAGATCGCATTGTTGATAAATTATAATAAATTTATCACAGTTTTTAATATGAATAGAAATAATTTTTTATACATTAAAACCTTAATTTTCAGTGAAAAATTTGTTAATTAAATAATTAATGTAGAAAGTCCAATTTCAGATAACAGATTTTTCAGCTCGTTGTCCATTTTATTTTGAACTGTCACTTTTCAAACAGTTTGAAGATGCGCGCAACAAAACAAAATGAAACTATAAAAATCTTTTTTACAGCATAAATTTGTTTCATTTTGAGAGGAATAATTTCAATTATAGAAAAAAAATCTTAAATGCAAATGAATAAATTCAATCAAAGAGAAAATATTAAAAGTTATCATTTAATAAAAATATTCTCAAATAAAGAAGAAAAATCCTCCTCTTTGTAGATGAATATTCGTATATTGAAAATAAAATGTAAAAGTAATTTATGAGCGGAATTTTCTTCTCATTTGGAGATTTTATTTTTTTCGGTGTGTTTAAATTTTTCAAAAAAATTCAACCCCCTCCCTCTCCGACTGTTTTTGAAAAAACCGAACAATACAATGAGGTTAAATTACTTACCCCTAGGGCTAAACTATGTGCAAATTACAGCCCGATCTGATCAACTTTTTTTTCACTTAGTTCGCTACAGGAATTTTACCCCATATATATATATTTCATTTCCGGGAAAAATAATTCTAATAATAAAAAGTGATTATTGATACAATAAAGAATTCCGTTCATACAAGAAAAAGTAATTTTTAGATCTTTTCTTTGTGCATAATTTTGACTATTGTTTGTTGGTAGGTGATTTATCATGCATCAGCGACTAAGAAGTGTACATACTGCAACAATAAGAGACTTAGAAGAATTTGTTGTTGCAGATTATGATGGACATAATATGAATCTGATGATGATAATTGACGAATCTGATTTGGAATAAAACTGTGTCTTATATTCTGTAGACAGTTTCATATATATATATATATATATATATATATATATATATATATATATATATATACGATGCGGATATTTAAGCAGGTAAGTCAAATAACGCAAATGGAGGACCTTTGCAGTCAGTTTGTTGGGGATCTAAAGTAGTGATCAATATGCTACAAAACTTGTTCAAAACATTGTCTACTGAAAATTCAGGAAATTACAATGTGTATTTTGATAACTTCTTTACTTCACCAGGTCTCAAAGTACATTTGAAAAGAATTGGTTTTACTGCTATAGGCACTGTTCGAATAAATCTGGTCAAAACTAAAAATTACATGACACTAAAATCACAAAGAGGCACATATATTGTACTTAGGTAAACAAATTATTTTGCAAATAGAAAAAATAGGTGTATCTTTTTTTCGGTTATGCTATAAATCCAATAGTTAGTTTGACGTTAGAAACGCTGTGTAAGCTATGGGTCTTAATAGATTAATTCAATTAATTGCAGTTCACTCTGTTATAGTCACCTATGACAATTTTACTTGTATTAAAATATAAATGGATTAATTTAAATGTGAATCTTTGTAACATTTCTAGATCTAATTTATCGTCCAAGTGATTTCTGATTTAAGTGTAAATTTTTGCAACATTTATGGACGCAATTTATCGCCCCAACATTATTCTTCATATTGTAAAGTCTCAATTTTCACATTAACATAACCTTTATAATTTGTCTTCAGTATCAGCAGTTTTGATAACATCTTATCAGATTACTTTCCATATTTTCTTCAGGATTCCTCTATTCATGGTATTATTCCGTCTAATTGAAATAAAAATTTATTTGCAAGTTAGTATGAATATGCAGCCTTCGTATACCAGCATTTAGTGCTTATTTCTTGATCAGTCATTAGGTTTTCCGAAATACCTTCTTAATGTGTTATGTTGGTGAGAATCAGATTTCTTTTTATCTCCAGAGGATCAACTCGGTATTGGAAGCGCACTTTGTGCAATTTAATCGCTAATAGTATTGACAATTTTTTTTTGGGTTGAGGGGAGTTCTGCCGTTATTTTTGTAATAAGCGTCAGAATAGCACCAATTCGTATTCGAAACTTTTGTCCTGTTGAAATACTGGCGCTCCATATTAAGGAATTTTGCATAAATTTAGTTTAGGTTAATGTTAAGTTGGCAGGGTTTGTTTATTTAACAAGGAAGCTATTTATTTCAATAATTGACCGGTTCCAATGAACAAGATATCGCGAGCTTGACATTGGAAAAGTCGCTTAGTTAGTATTAGTAATTGACAATTCTGAGAGAAGTAAGGTAGGAATATATTTCGGATTAGTTTAAATTAACAAAAGTCCTTGCGTCATCTACTGTCAATTTTAGTATGAATGAAAATTTCGTTTTTAAAACTCTCTCTCCCTCTCTCTCTCTTCTCATCGGATCGCCAATGAGTCAGCATGTTTAGTTTTCAATAGTTTTTAAGTATGTATTTTAAGTTACAGTTTTCCGATATAGTCTGGTCACAGTTACATTGAATCAAATCTAGTTTTGTATTCAATTAAAATAACTAAAATAATGTTATAGTACAATTATTATAAAATTCGTATCTTTTAAAGTTCAATTTAGTTCATAATAACTTGCTTTTCCGCCATGAGAACAATCATTGATGCAGAACATAAATGTAAGTTATTGATAATCATTGTTTATAATTATGTTTCACCAATGTTATATTGTTAATAAAAATTCAATCGAGATAATAGTTACAGATATGTCTACACTTTGCACGTTAATAATTTATTAATAAGAGCTTAATAACCCAATAATATTGTTTAAATCAATTAAAAAATCATAAATTTATAGTTCCCAATAAATAATGTTACTACAGTTTGATTATTTTTAGCAATATATTTTCTCAAAGCAAATCAGGACAGACTTCTGTTAGATCTCGGTTTTCAGTGGTTTTATTGTAAACCGAGTATGTGATGTAATGTAAAAAGTGCTATAGCACTTTTTTGGGATACATGAACTAGTAGATACTAGAACTAGTAGACTCTTTGAATATTTCTAAAGAGAAATAGAGTAGTTAGAAGAATTATATTATTTGAGATCAGTAGTATACTTACAATTAACGACGTCAAATTACAAAGGTCTGTTTTTCCTAATAAAACAAGAGAAGCCAATCCACATAATGCATATCCACCATGCGCTTCCATGCCAGGACAGCCACCAAATCCTCCTTCCCAGGTTTGACACCTCTGTATCCATTTTGCTGTTCCATTAAATATTTCAGGAGTAAATGTATCTGTTAATTTTGCAACAGATAACGCGCAGTAAGCACCTCTAATGTCTGCTTCACCATCATAATGCATGCTAAAACTCCCATCTTCCCCATGCAGTGATATTAAGAATTGAACCAGAGTATTTCTAAAACAAATATAATTTTTTAATTGAGAGAAGCTGACATGATTCTTTCAATTTCACATCAACTAAGAACCATATAATTAACCATAGAGATAATACAAAGAGAGTAGGTAAGGCGCCGCCTTAAGTATCCGCTCGATTGGAAGAGAAAGAAAATAAAACCAATCTTTGTCTTTTTTTAGTTACGCATGCGCGACAGCTAAAGATCTGCATCATGAAAAGTCACGAGAATTTTCGATCAGTACAAAATTATGCACTAGTGCACTGGCGCAGTTTAGAAGAGGACAGACTGTGGTTTTAAACTCTACTTTTCTCTTTCTTACGGTGACCTATCCCCTCATATGCTACTGCCTATACCTTGCCTACTCAATTTATATTATCTCTATGTCTATTAATATAGACCCCCCTTAACTTCTACATTTTTGTATATAAAGAACTGCAATTTAGTACACATACGTATTTTCACGTGTAGATTACAGGAAAAATATAGCGAGACCGATTGGATTTGATGGCTGCGAGCTAGAAAGGAAAGAAATCGGTTTTTTCAGAAAAAATTGCAAAAAATGATCCTGTCCTTCCCCTTAACTTCTACATTTTGGTATAAGAAGAACTGCAATTTAGTACACATCCGTATTTTCACGTGTAGATTACAGGAAAAATATAGCGAGACCGATTGGATTTGATAGAAGTCGGCAGGCAGTCACGGTTGAGCTTAGGATAAGTTCGACTGCGCTTTGCGGATATGCGCTAATTCGTAAATAGGTACTAAGCAGGCAGTTACGGTTGAGCTTGCGATAAGTTCGACTAAGACTTGTGAATATGATATACTTCATGAGTAGATGTTTAGCAGGCAGTCAGGATTGAGCTGACGGTAAGTTCGACTGTGTCTTCCGGATATGCGATAATTCGTGAATAGGTACTAAGCAGGCAGTCACGGTTGAGCTTGCGATAAGTTTGACTAAGACCTGTGAATATGATATACTTCATGAGTAGAAATTTGTCAGCAGTCACGGTTGAGCTCACGATAAGTTCGACTAGGCCTTGCGAATATGCGATAAGTTCGACTGGAACTTGTGAATATGATATACTTCATGAGTATATGTTTAGCAGGCAGTCACGGTTCACTGTAAAACGAAAGGTATTAATTTAATACCAACTTTAGGTACTAAATTGCCTATTGGTTCTATTTTAATACCTAAAATTGGTACTATTTTAGTACCTTCTTTTTACAGTGTTGAGCTGAAGATAAGTTTGACTGTGGCTTGCATATATGCGATAATTAGTGAGTAAATATTTAGCCATGTTATTTATTGAGACACGAGATCATACGAAACAATACTTTTGGCAAAAAATTGTAATACAAACACATTGAGTGAATGTATAAAAAATAAAAGTTATACAAAGTAGATATTTAAATGTGTTTCTTTATTTATACATCTTTATTTATTTATATATAAAAAAGTTTATTATTGTTGGTGTACGGAACGCTTGAATTAGTGCGAGTGTAACTCGCACTTGTCGGATTTTTTTTATAATAGTACTACATTAATGAACAATTTACAACTACACGATTATTACTAATTGTAATGGTATACTTTATTTTACCCAATTCTAAAAATTAACTATTGGCCACAGAACTCGATCTCCTGTCCCATAGTGCGCTGTCCTCAAAACTCTAGAACGATACATCGAATATTCCATAAAAAACAATGCATTATATCGACATGTGTATCACTCGTTGAATTTCACGGATAGAGAAAAAACATGGAAATCATGCGTGCCATCGCCTCTACACGAAAAAGTAATGTAGGAGAATCACAACGCCCCGACCGCAGGACACCTCGGTATCACGAAAACCATTCCACGTATCTCCGGAAATTATTATGCTGACTCTACATTGGCTGCGCAAACGTGTACGTGAACGTGAACGTGCTGACGTCACAATGTTATTCAAATGGGTGACGTCAGCACGTTCACGTTCACGTACACGTTTACGCAGCCAATGTAGAGTCAGCATTACTGGCCAGACATGAGTAGCGATATAGCTAAATACGTTTGCGAGACGTTTAGATACCCGAATTTCAATTCGCGTTGAACTCCGCGAAACACAAGTCAACAAAATTTACACCGGCTTATCTAAATTTTTAAAGAAATATTTTACCGCCAAGAAAACAAAAAATTATCTTAACTTTTGCTAAAAATTAACAAACGAACAACCGAAAAAGTTCCGAACTGTGAGAGCACGAGTACAGCGAACAGAATAGAACTAGCACCCCAAACTCGCTATCCACAAAAAAAGAAAAAAAAATTCTCTTAAATCATTGGTGGTAAAAAGATGCAACTTATAATTAACGCCAACGGTAAAAAGATAAGGAGACCAATGAAAACGAGGTGACTTCTACGATCGTCCCTAAAACCTGCCCTGATGATTAATAATTAAACAAATTATATTACGTAAATACCTGTTTATTGCTTCATAAGCTTCTTTTGTGCCAATTATATAAAGCGCATTTACAGCAGCATATGTTGTAGCAAGATGAGGCAGCTGTCCTGGTCCACCACCGAATCCACCATGTTGTGACTGACATTTAGATAAAAACTTGACAATATTTGAATAAATTTTATCATCCAGTCGTTCATTTAAAATTTGAAGAGAATGCAGAATCCAATAACATAACCAAGGCCGACTACTATCTAAGCACTAAAAATATGTTTATAAGAAACAATTACTTCAACTATAACTATTACTCACTTCTATAAGGGGACAAATCCAGTCATTATTTTCAAAAATCGATTAAGTAATCTACTAAACTAACAGAATCTTTTTCGTTTATTGATTAAAGATCATCCTGTCTCGACTTATCATGTTCAGAGGAAATTACTTCTTTATGGACTCGAGGAATAATTTTACATAACTTCAATAAATAATATGCAAAGTTTTTTAAATAAATATTTTCAACCGTTTTTGAAAAATAACACAGATCTACAAGGTTTTTTTATATACTAGAATGGTTTCTAATATACTTTTGTGTCCTGAACACAATCCTGAATTCCAATATTGCGTATCACGTCAGTATTTAAAAAAAATGAAGGTCCTAAAACCGTGTTTATGAGGGTTCTCAGTATTTTTTTTTCTCCATAACCTGAAGTGCTAGAAACTTCTATATAGCCTTTTTAATTTGAGTATATGGGTTTTAAAGTGTATTTTAAGCTTTAATTTAAGCCAATATAGAAGTCTCTAATACGTCAGTTTAAGTAGAAAAAATTCTACAAACCCTCAAACACACATTTTTTGGGGTCTTTACTTCATTTTTTTTATCTTGCGTATGTGGGTCTTACAGTGTACGATTTGAGGTTTAATTCAGGCCTATATAGAAGTCAGGTTAAGAAGAAAAAACTTGAAACCCTTACCTTAAAAAGACGGTATTTGGGGTTTTTTTCAAAACAAATTTTTTATCTTGCGCATATAGTTCTAGCATGTCGTGTTAAAGAGAAAAAAAATACTGAAAACTCTCAAAAACACGGTTTTTGGAAACTTTACTCCTACTTTACTTAATAACCTAACGTTTTACGCAATTTAGGATTTCGGGATCGCGTTCAGCATACAAAACTACATTAAAAACAACTACAACATCTAAAAAAATCTTATTTTGTAGACCTGGGTAATGGAGTAACAGCTTTTCATGACTGGATAACCCCCTTTAAAGTTATTAAAATTAAGTTACCTCATAATTTGTAGTTAAATAAATTAATGACTTTTTCAGGAACTTTATATGCTTATGTCTATCCAAAATAGGCTCCTTATTTAGTTTATAAAGTAGAAGAACATTTTTTTCTACTTTTTCCTATAAGAAAATATAGTGATATTAATCAAATATTTTAATTGATAAGTAAATAACAATTCAAAAATTTTATTCTGATAAATCAATAACAATTATATTAGAATTTTTCCTCCAGAGTAAGAAATATTTTTTAAATAAATTAAATTAATTTTCTTATTAAATTTTAAATAAAATTTTATAATAATTATAACAAATTCATATGTATAAAATAAATCTGTCTGAGAAAAATTTATGTTTTGTGACGTGACATTTTTGACACGTCACACCGAGTTTAGATATTAGTAGAATATTTTTAAATTATTTTCTATTTGATTTTTATAAAATTTTGCAGTATTACGATTTTTATAATCATAGCGTAAAATTTAAATTTTTTTCGCGCCATTGATCTAACCTTAACTGAGTTTGCCCGAGCGCAACACAGCTCAGGTTGGCTCGCCTCTCCTCACGGTTACCGGCAAAAAACGTGGTTCACATTCATTATCGGGCCTTGCGAAATATAATCAAAATTTGAAAAGAATGTGTGATAGTGAAAGAAAAAGGAAGACAAACGAATATATATAAAAATCAAATTGCATATTTTTTGCTCTTCATTGACTCAATTATCCAGGATAATTTATTAATAATGTGAGTACAACTATGTTCTAACGATTATTTGTTATGTGTAAGTTTTCATTTTTGTCATTTTCTTCAGATGTATTTTCATTTAATTCTCGATATTAAAAGATGGCTTATGGGGTTTTTGGGGTAACATATTATAAATTCGAAGCAAATTTTCACATTATGCCTATAGCTCAATGTAAGATTCCTCAGCTTAATATTTTGGTCATACTTCACACGTTAAAACCCATAATTTCATAGGGATTACGAATTTGATTCTGAAAATTAGAGGATTTTATTTAACAAAAACAACCAATTTTTTGGGTTCACATATGTAGATCTTTTTATTAGGAACAACTTTTGTCTTGAACATTTTTTATAAAAATTCGTACTTTTCGAGATATTTGCAAGTTCTATACTTTTTGAGCAAAATACATTCTACGTGATAGCGCTAGAGAAACGCAGCGCCGCACAAAAAACGCGATAACTTTTTTTCTAATTGCGATCCACGAAATTTTAAAACGGTTTTCGAATCCTTATGAAATTACCTTTCCAATAAACTTTCTACGACAACCAGAACATGGTTTATTTTTTAAATAAACAATTAATTTTGCAATAACAATTATTAAAAATCAAAAATTTTCAACTAAAACTCTTATCATTTTCTGTGTAAGTATACCAATTTTTATAAAGATCCGTTTACTTAGTTCTAAGATATTTATTTTTTAATTTAAGACTACAAAAAACTTCAAGTTTTATAACTCTGAGAAATTTAATTTTTTTGAAAAATTCTTTGAGGCAGTTTTTTAACTCATAATGTTTTAATTTTCTATATCTCCAAGCAAATACAGTAAATCTTTAATTTGGGTGAACCACTTAAGGAATTTTTACTCACCTAAGTTACAAGTCTATAACTTATTCTAAATTATAATATCTTGCTTTAAAATCAACATCAAATTTCCACTTCTCGCACGTCAGCCGTGTACTGACGAAATTTTCGAAATTTCCTATATTTGCATATGGGCAAATCCACGAAACTTTTAACTTTTGTGATTCTCGAATCGAACACTTAAAAATCTGAATTATTTTTGATTAAAACTTTGGGTATCATTTTTTTTGCTAAATTATATACAAAGGAACATTTATGTACAGTATTAAAACAAAATATTTATTTGACAAATAGTTTTATAAGTTAAAAAGTTAAAAAGTGAAAAAATGCTTAAATTTCATTTGAATTTCTTGAGTTTATATTCTTAACGTTTTTATGTTTGCGGCGTGTAAAATATCACTTCAGCTACTATGGAAATATCTAACAGACATATTTTGTCAAAAATTTTTCACTGTCCCATTAGTGTGCTACCACTAAAACTAAAAATACGAAGGATTGATTGAGTGATGGCACTTTTTAAAAAAATTCAATCGAACGTCTTCTTATGAAAATATCTATTACGGCGTTGTATAAAAATAAAAGTTCAATGCATTTCTTAAAAGGTGATGAAAAAACAAAACTTTTAAGACCTTCTTCAATGATGTGGCTCTAATTGTATTCCTGTGGCAACAATTTAAAGATGATAATAAAAATCGTGATTTCATTTAAATTTATACATTTTTGAAAGGCACAACTGCATTTTTGCTTTAAACAGGTCAATCTATGGTGTGATCGAAATATTTTCATACATATATTTGAATACAAAAACGCCGCTTAAGGAATTTGAGTGAAATAAATTTTATTAAGTTAAGAATATGCTGAAAACACTTTCTTGGAGTCTTTACCCCCTCTTTTCTCAAAATCCTGACGTGCTAAGCAAATTTGGGTGCCAGAATCGTGTTCAGTCTCCGAGACTAACTAATCGACACTCGACATTTATAAAATTTTAAAAACATTTTGAAAAGTTTGACGTTGGAACTGGAACAATAGATGAATATTTGTCGATAATCAAAAATGTGAGCATTGCCCCTTCATTTGAACTTTATTTAAATTATTTATTTACATGCATGTATGTCAGGAAAGGCACTAGAAAAAATTGAACAGCCGCTAATTGCTCCATGGACCATTCTTAAGAAATATTATAATGATCCGATATCAGTCATAATTATTTGTTTCATTTTTTTATGTAAGGTGACGATTTTCTCGACCTCATATTCTGTCGGGTCTGACAAATATATTCTTTCTAAAAATTGTTGAATTGAATAATTTGGAAAATTTGCTAAATCGTCCTCCTCCACCACCAACGTTTCTCGAACGTGAGGACCCAAATCCACTTAATATCATATTGATTGGGCCATAAGATTTTCCAAACATGGAGGAAGAAAATATCGATATCGATCAACTGTTCAATTTTGATTAAAGAAAATAATATAATAATAATGATAATTTATTTTAGGCAATCGTGTTATAGCCCACTTTAAATAAAACAAGTTACAAAAGGAACAGCAAATTCTATAGGATCAATTTTAAACTAGACAAGTAAACATTATCGTGTGTTATTGCTGGTGTTGGATAAATCTATTTTAGTAGCGTTTAGTATTTACGCGATAGTATCGAAGTTTGACGACCAAATGCAGCTCAGATGAGAAGAGCAAACGCAAGGTAGTGAACTTCCGAAAGGGGAAGAATTGATAGAAAAAACGATCTAATACCCGACAATCGACAGAAACAAAAAAAATCGACTTTTACCTATTCGGCAAATTAAACCCCAAATTACATTTGACATAAAATCATTTGACGTAAAATTCATTTGATATAAATCTTATATGACATTTTTATTTGACATAAAACTTAATTGACATGAACTTCAATTTGACATAAAACTAACTTCACATAATTTTAAATAACAATATTATACATTGAAATAACATTCAATTGACATAAAACTCATCTGTCATGAAAATAGCATTGTCTTTCTTTGTGACCCAGGTTCGTGATTTAGTCATGATTATAAAAAAGTCCGTCACGTTTGTTAATCATATTTCTGATGTCATTGGTAGATCACTCAAGTTTTTTGGGTTTGGTTACGAGGAATGCATCAGCTTTTCATAACGAGTGTAACCTCAGAATATTATATTTCACTTTTGTCAGAAGTGTTCTTGAATATGCTTTAATCATTTGGATGTCTTTTTATATTTATCAATAAGACTGGAACGGGTTCAAAAATCGTTCCTGCTTTTTATAGCTAGACAACTAAATTTACTATATAACTTACATGATCACAATTATGATTACACAGACGGACAAGATTTACTTTTCATGAATCAGACAACAGTTTTCCGAAGGTTTTCGAAGTGCTGAAGCAGTTGATTTTACAAAAAATGTTTAAGACAAAAGTTGTTGTCCTTAGAGGGGATATCCAGTGGTAAACTTGAATTTAACCTAAATGACTTAAATGATGTCGATTCAAGGTCAACTTTTTGTGTCGGAAATCGATAGAGCAGCAAATTCCATGTCAAAATCGTTGATGTATTTTTTTTCGATAGGTCGACCTATTTAGGTCAAATAGGTCATATTTAATTTCTTATCAAACATGCATTTTGTGCAGCTCTTGGCTAGTTTTTGGAAAACTATTCAGAACAGACCACGAGAAGGTGACAGCACATCTAGTTCCACCTCCTCCTCACCCAACCGACTTACCTTAACGAAAGAGTTTTTTTGTATTTAATTTTTTTAAGCTTTTCTATTTAATAAAATTGTTAAATTATAAAATAAATAATTAAAAAGAAAATTCACAGATACACTAAAAATGAGATCATGACGCTATTTTTTCAAGTCCTGTAGCGGGACTCAGGTCTGAAAATTCCTGCAAGCAGTATTTGTAGCTCTCTTTCTCCTCACACACACATGCGTACGCTCCCCTCTCACTGTGTCCATGCGTCGCTTGAAGTTCGGGTCGGTATTCGTGATTTAGAGAGATATGAGCTGACTACACTGTTCTCTCTTACTACGAAAGCACGTGTACGAGGTGCAGGCAACAACCGGCGTAAATGCAAGGCAAAAAATATTATTGTCTTGCAAATGGTTAATTAATGATTAATTAATTGTCTTGTTAATGGTTAGTATTAAAAAAATGAATCTCGATCAAGAATATGCGGATGTCGTTGAAAGCAGTTACAGTTTAAATAATAATGTTGGAGAAGACAAAAATTCAGTGCATCTCTCTTTACTTTCCGAAGACGCCCGAACACACAGACGCCAACTTGAAATAGTAGTGGGAAGCAAGAGAGAGTAAGAGATATCGGAAACTCTTCGCCACGTTCTTGCCTACTCTTTTCTCTCTCCTGTGAAATTACCGTTTGGACGCTTAGGTCCCTTTCTTCGCGTCGCGTCACATATCCTGAATCTGGACACTTTTCGGAGTAATTTGTAAAAAAAGTTAAAATCTTTCATCGAGCCGTTTTTGAGAAAATCGATT